CAAAACAAAAAATAAATAAATCTCGCACACTATCCACACTTGCAAATGAATCAAAATATTTATTAACTAACAACATTTCGGTCCATCACCTTCATCAGGCATGTACAGTACATACATAGTACACATACATAGCAATTTTGGACCATTTTAGAAACAGTCTGGGGGAAAAACAAGATCCTACCCTCATTAAAGAAAGCAAGACCCAGCAGCATCCGATCTAAGGCCAGCGGGGCGATGTCTGTGCTGTGGACAGTGAGAGATATGGCCCCTGCGATGGCAAAGAACAGGTACATGGTGGTGTGCTGCCAGTTCATCAGCTGCTCCCAGTGCTGAGTGGAAGAATCATACAGCTGAAACTTGGGCCCACCTGCTAAAAGCTGCTCTGCTAACATACCTGTATAAAGGGCAGAAGAAAACTAGTTGAGTTAAAAATGTTATAAATAAACTTGCTTTCATTACTCTAATAAATGGCTCATTATAGGAGGCCTAAAAACTAAACTTAAAATGATTTAAAATAAGCATCAAAATATTAAAGCAGTAAAAACAAAACAAGCTTTAAGAATAAGCTAAAAATCAAGACATTTCTGTTTTAATTCATCTGCTCAACAAATGTATTTTTTCTATGAATAACCAGGGTTCCCACTGCTTGAAAATCCTAGATATGCGAAGAAGCTCAATTCCAAAAGTGTGGAAAATATCTAAACCTGGAAAAGTTTATTAATGTATAATGTAGAATGTATAACTCCATGGGCAGATTTATACTTTTTATGAATATACATTTTCTGGGTATGCCAAGCTCTAAAATATTTTACTGGGTAGAGAAATTGTGAATAAAGTATTTTTAAAAAGTCTTAATCCCTATCTAGTAAACTGTAAACAACTGAAAAAGTCATGGAGCCGTATTGTTATGGACAATGTTGGACCTTCTCAAAGTTGAGAACCACTCTAGACCATCTATTACCAAAGGACAAGCAATACACAGAAAATTACACAACCTATAATTTAATACCATTTTTTTAACCATACAATCAACTTAATAAATCTATACAGCAAAAATGGCTCTCAAAATCATAGTTGTTTCTTTGCTGAACCTTGGGTGTTTCAAAGACACATCAGAAAGCTTTATTTGTCCATATGTATGATGATGCTTCTTATTCTATTAATAAAGGCATAGCGGCAACTCACCAATAATAGAAAATGATAAAATGACAGCTCCTTCTATTATTTCTATACGCCGTTGTGTAGCTCGAGATGCAAGTCTGCCCGCACCAGCACTTTTATTCCTGCGGGTGGCATACAAAAATGTCTGCTTTGCGGCCCACCACAGGCCGGTGATCAGGAAGAAACTTCCAGGCAATGCATGGCCTTTAAAACTTCCCATGTTTTCCTAAATGTCCTGGAAATCAGAATAACAATTGTATTTAATAATAATATAATAAACTACAAAACAAAAATATCTCATTATATCATGCTTCATTATATCTCAAAATGTGGCAAAGCAAAAGACAATGTTTACTGGACACACTTAAAGACGATATTGGAGACTCTGTATTCATAAGCAACACTTTTCCCCTTAGGAGTGGCATATCAATACAAGATTCCCATTTTTACATTTTCTGGCACTGGATTGTTACTCCAGTGTGGAGACTAACAGTGCTAGACAATCAAATCCAGCATATTTATTGCCATCCTGAACAAATAATGCCACACACTATAGACTGCAGGGGTTAAGGAAATGTCAGAGATACAAATCAAAATGCAGAGGAAGGTGCTGCGACCTAGTCCATGCAGCCTAATGAGGGGTCCAGGCGTGCACCTCTCAGTTCTATTTTTAAACAGCAAGGTGAGGATAGCTGGAAAAAAATCCCCAAACCATGTTAAATCAGACAGTCTACTCTATTAATCTTGGAAATATAAACCTACATACTGAACGCAGTCTTGTGTCTTAAACATTCACCAGAAACAGGAAGAGTAAAGTTGTTTGCTCTTGACAGATGTTTGAAAATGAGTTTAACATTTAACTTTAATATGTTTTTTGCTTTTAATCAGTGAAATATAAAGTAACCCAAACAATACAAGGGAAATTATAAGAATGGCATCTTCTATTCCTCCTTTTACTCTTGTAGAGGATGATTTTTGTAATATTTAATCAACGGACTCATCAGTTCTTGGCCCTGAAGTCATCCAGGTCCCATGACATTCCAAAGGAAGGTGGTCATTACTGCCATAATCAGTGTGCAATCAGAGTGTGTCCTTGAGACCATGACAACTTATCACACAAACGTCTCCTTCTGCTTACAACCGCTTTTAGAAAGTAAGCTAAATTCAAACATGTGAAAAAGACACAATTGAAGGGCTGCAATAAAGCAGAGACAGCAACCACATAGGCCTAATGATCAATTGGAGAAAAAAAATCTAAGTGATGGTAATAACGAGAGTTTGAGACAAAACTGAGAATCTTATTGCATAGTAGTGCTGGGCGGTATACCGGTTCATACCGAATACCGGTGTTTATTTTTGCTGCATGAGACAAAAAAGTAATATAGCTAAAACAACCGCATATCTCTTTAGTGTAGATGCATGTTGATTTTATCAGACGATGCCACGATTATAAATGAGAGTGACTCCTGGTTAACATGTATTAAAAGGGGTCGTGTTTAGTCACTATTTAGTGTGGTATTTTTTGACAATATTCACTCATCATGACAATAAATTAGGGCATTCTAAGTCAATATACTGCAGTATTTCCTCTCTCAATCAGTAGAAAATATGGTTAACACCCGGTCATGCATGAAAAAAAAATACCGTCATGTACCGTGAAACCGGTATAATTTTGAAAAATACCGTGATATAAATTTTTGGTCATACCGCCCAGCACTATTGCATAGACATTTTTGCATATGCTGTTTCGTTTTGTAATAGCTTATTTCAATAGAGGGTTGCATAAATGTTAAAATTAAAAATCAAATGTATGTCATTATTTACCCTAGTGTCATTTCAAAGCAATTCCCCCTATTTTAAAGTAAAGAAAGAAAGTTATAGACACGAGGGTGAGCAAATGTTGACACAATGTTCATTACTGTGTCACTATTTCTGTATTGTATTATTCACTATATGACTTTGAATATCATGGCAATGAGTAGCATCTCTGCAGCCTTGATCAAACCAGTCTTTCAGTGGTCTAAACACTGTTCTTCAGGATGCTCTGCTGTTACCATAGAGACACCAGTGAAGAGGCCCGATCCAATCCTTTCATGTATTTATGACAACATAAGAACGACATTATTTGGAATTGTACATACAAACAATCTGTCATTTTGTAATACTAAACCAAATAAGAGGAACCATCGTGCAGTTTTACAAAGAATAAAACATGAAAAACGATGTAAAAAAAAAAATGCTATAACAACAATCCTGCATGTTTCATGATAAAATGACTGAAGTACCCTTCATTTTTTAAATCGTTTAAAAACCTTACCTGAAAAACGATACACGCACCGTTGTCTGCGGAAGACTATATAAACGTCTCAATTTTTTAATTATACTTCACATATAATGTTTATTGGGGATAAAGGTCTGCTGTGTTCACGTTTTATTGGGCTTTCTCAAGACTTTCTGAAGTCTACAGACTAAAACACCCATCTTAGATACTATGATATAATATGTTTTCTTTTTAAATCACAGTCTTCTAGGGAACATATAAAAAGTATATTCTAGGTAATTACACGTAAGTAATTGCATTAGCTCGCCATCTAGGTCCGTTGTTTGAGGTAACGTTAACACTATTAAGAAATAAAATTGGAAAAAATAATAACTTAATTCGGGCACAGTAAGTGGTCTGTATTATGAGTTAAGAAAACATAGTTGATATCTTACCTTATAGATTGACCAAATAATGGGTATATTCTTGAAAATTTTGAGACGAAAGCTCGGAGTCGACGTTTTTTTCTCGAGAGACTGTCATCTGAAGCTGTAAGTAGCAATATACTAAATTCGTTCAAACATTCTCACAGGACTCTTATTCGTCCCTTATCAGCATCATGACGTTTTATTCCATCAGGAACTTGCAAATTATCAACTTCTTCCACTTTTCCAGCTGTTTCGAAACCAGATTCGGGGTTTTATCTTTTTCAGCGCGTCTTCTCACTGGAACCTCCCATTTCATGAAACGATTGGTTCATGAGGGGACCAGACGTCATTGTTTTCGAATTTGATTGGTTAGCTTACCTGTCAATCAACAGTTGGTCTCTTTTCCACGTGTGCAGTTTTCTCCAAAAGAAGCAGTAGAAGGTCGTCCGCTATTTTAACAAGCAACAGAAATTTCAGTCCAGTGGAATAAACGTATAAAATATATTTGGAAAACGTATTTGTATATATTGTGTTTTGTTTTTATGTATTTTAAAACCTCCTTAAATCAATTATAGATAGATAGACAGATCACAATTCATTTCCATGTTCTCTTTAAAGTTGTAGGTAACGTTACTTTGCAAGAGAAGATAGGCTACGCTCGCCAAAGGCTAAAGTTTTCATAATGCTTTGGTCCAGTTGTTGTATAATATTTTGATGGCATACTGTTTTATTATAACAGCTTTTACAGAGTTGTATGTTTTATAAATGTAGGGCGGGACATGAGGGCAGGGTTTTTGTACGTGCACAAAGACACGGTCACGAGAGGGCCTGACAACGAAAAGAAGAGTCATCTCACTGTATTATTTATTTTACACTTTATAACGTGGCACTCATATTACGTAGTAGCTACACAGAAACTGAATGCATTAAACTAAACAACATCCTGGTACCAAACCTATGAATTCAATGAATTTTGTAAAAACAAAGTTGGGTAAATAAAACAACAGCCTACTTTCAAAACAACAGCACTATATAAAGACTTTACAGCAATGTAGGTATTTCTTAATCTGTTGATATTGAATTAAAAGTATGATTTTAGTACAAACAACATATTCTACATCTTTGAAACGTATATTTACATGTCTGAAACATCACACCTTGGACAGTCTAAAATTCTCTGCCTTTGAATTTGGCATGTGTATGTTATTGGGTAATTCAGATGTGCACTGTGCAATATATACAAGCAGAGAGACGGACAAAGAGAAAACAAAAAGGCTCTGTAGTCAGACACTTAGCATGCATGGTTTTCAGCCTAGCCAAACATCCTGTCCTCATCACTCCACAGAGGAAAATAAGCAAGAAAGATGGAAAAGGAGGGTCAGGAACAAATAAAGCCGAAGTTCTTCAGATTCATATAAAGATGCACATCCATAACGGTCTTTTCCTAGGAAGTGTGTGCAAGCAAAAGACCATATAATCATGCTGCACTGCTACACCCAGAGATGATGTTTTGTTGTTGTTTTTATTTACATATAAACACATTAAATCAGTGGTCACAGGCTAAAAGCAGACATGGAAATGATCATGCAGTGATGGAAAATGGGCATTGTCAGGGAAACTGGACACGAGCAGAGGACCAGTAGAGGGGCTCAGGCATGGTCACATGAACTCGACAGGTGGGACATGACTGTTTCTGCCAAAGCCATTTTTCAATGCACTGAAAGAAAGAAAAGCCAAATTATGGAGGGCATTCAAAGCCAGAATGTGGCTGTATATAAAACACTGAAAACTATTGAAACGTACATCTGCACATGCTAAACAGATTGCAACATTATTTTGCTTTTAAAGAACTACAGGCTTAGCAAAACACACTATCAGTTTGAATTTAAGTTTATATGATGTTAACAACCTTTTGGTTTGCATATTTATGCTTAAATTCTTGGAAAAATTTAATTTGTCAACATATTTATGAATATATTTACAAATAAATGACTGGTAGTGTACGTGACATAACTGCTAAAGGAAGTAATGTTCAACTAAACCAAATGTATATATCACTAAGATCTATAGCAGAGGCATGATGGCAATTGCATGACAACTGCATGCATGAAAAACAGATCTGTTGACCTTTGAGGGGCAGAACTGTGACCCACCATTGATTTCCATTACAGTGGTGTGATTAGCCACCAGCTAATTTCCAGCATGTGCATTTAACAACTGTAGCTTCATAACTGCAACTCCTGACATATGACCTGCAAATTCAGGATTTTACCATATTTACAGTTTCAGCATGCATAATTCTAAATCCAAAATAAGCCAAAACATCTTATATTCACAGTTTGGTTTTCTAATCCAAAATAGCTGTATAAAATGAACAACAGGATCATGAATAATAACAACATTTTATCAGATCAATGCACATTAACTCTAAAAAACAAAATTTGATTGACAGTTTACTTATACACAGACTACAATAACCATATTATGGTTCCTATAATTCTTACTATAGGAAAAGCACAAAAAGTACTAAAACATGACATTTGAAACAGCAATATTTATAAAATGTAAATGACTTGGAATGGGGAAACAAATAAAAATGCTGGTATTTACTGTTGTTCTTTGCTTTTCTGTTTTCAAAAGGGGGAAAAAGACAAAACTTTCCTACAAAAAAGAGATCAGCAGGTTAATTTTGTGTGTGGAGCTAAACACAAAGTAAAACTGAAAATTAACAAGTATTTTGATAATATACTGAGTGATTACTGTTTAGTTTAACTGCTATTCATACATACAGTACACTTAAAAAAGAATGATTACTTTTTTAAATAATATTATAATAATCAAAAGAACCTTTTTCCATTATAAATAACCTTTTGTGCAATGGAAAGGTTCCATGGAAATTCTGCATGGAACCATTGATGCCAATAAAGAACCTTTATTTTTTAGAGTGTATGTTAAACTGAAAACAATCAACGTTGTCTACGTAAAGAGAGTTGGCGACGGGGTAAGCAATATTCCTCCTGTCCAGGGCAGAACGGTATCTCTTTTCCTCTCTCACAAGCAGGTGCAGAACTCCCACTACGTGGACGTGCGCCGTGCTCTGGCCATTTTGCCTTCCCAATCCATAATCAGAGACGACAGCAGATTCAGTGTCATAGTTGGCACAAAAGCAGCAAGTAACCAGATAAACTTCATGCATGCCAGGCGGGGAAAAGCACCGATTTTGAAAGCGTTGTTCACTTGGTGTCATGCGTAAACTGCTATATCCATTTAGCCACTGCTTCAATTAACAATTTGATACTGTTAGAAGGCAACAGAAGAGAGAAATGATACAGGAAGTGTTTACCTCTTTATGAAAATGATGGCCACAGTGAAGTTCTTGGATGCCACCCCTTCCATTCCGTAGTTCTTCATGGCAAATAAGACATATGCTATCTGCATCACCCTACAAATAAACCAGAAAAAAAAAATCTAAAAGTGTTAATATTATGGCATTCATGTCTAATACAGTATATTAAAGTATACAGTATACAAGTTTTTATTTTTCATGTTTTAAAATAAGTTTATTTTGCTCACCAAGGCTGCAAAAACTCAAAAAAGTAATATTGTGAAATATTATTACAATTTTAAAACTGTTTTCTATTTTAATATATTTTAAAATTAAATTAATCCCTGTGATGGCAAAGGTTAATTGTAAGCAGCCATACTCCAGTCTTCAGTGTCACATGATGCTTCAGAATTCATTAATTTCTGGGTGTTATATAACATTCTTCACTATGGAACTTTGGCCTCTATATCGCCACCTGTAGTTAAAACATACAATTGCATGTCACTTGCGAAAGAGATATTAAACGTAAATTGTAGGAATTCCATTGGATACCGACGATCATCTTTAGAGGATTTCTCATGCTGCACGAAGACCGACTGACGGTAGCCTACAGCCTATCAGAAAAATTAATTTAAGTGTGTTATTTGCCGTTGTAGTGTAGCCTAGATCTTTTGATGCATGCTCTGTCACCTTCCCTTTGTGATTGTAGACTCTCAGTTCCAGATTTAGCCTATTTGTTTTTTGAAAAGCTGATTTCGTAAGAGGTCTCACGAGGCGCCGTTTAGATCTGTTCATGTTAAATACCTTTTCTGTTCATGGACATGAAGTAAACACTAAAGCAATTGATGCAGGCACGCGAAATCCGACCCGACAGCTCATAATTATTGAAATTGAAAATGTAGGCATAAAGTAGTGCATTGAGTATTTTATTTAATAAATCAATTACATTTAAAGGTGACATATCATGAAAATCTGACTTTTGAAAATGTGAAAAATATTAACCCAGTAACTTTGTTTTGGTAAGCCTTTTTCTGCAAGCGTCTGATTTCGCTCCCCTAGTGACGTTGAAAAGGGATCTCATTATAATATTACCGCCCCTTAATCTGTAAATTTCCACCCACAGCGCCGTCATTTTGATTTCGCAAGTGACAACGGTGTACCAGCTCTAATGCCATGGCGAAAGTTTGAACAAAACATGCCTACTGTTCTGTCTCTGGCTGCACAGATGAGCACAGAACACTATTTAGAGTCCCAGCCTCAGAGGAGACAAGACAACAGTGGATTTATTGATTTATTTCATGTATATTGCTGCTGCCACACAGATCTAAAATAAACATGCAATTTATTTCCCAGCTGTTTACCTTCACAGACATAACCGACTGTTTTTGTAACTCGTGTTTTTGACGTAAACTTGTGTGTGAATGAGAACTTAGTTTAATACTCACATGCTGTGACAGCCGCTTTCTGTACGTGTGCTTCAGATGTGTGCACTCAGAAAAACGTATATCAGAAGTTTAAACTAATATTGTTTAAAATGCATGATTTCAGCGCGATAAATATGATAATCAGAACCAAAACAGATGTTTTTAGCAGGTACGATCTGTAATGGCGCAGCTCTATTCTGGAAAAGGGGGCGGGGAGCAGCAGCTCATTTGCATTTAAAGAGACAGACACGAAAAACAGCGTGTTTCTGCTTCCACTCAAAATAGGCATTTTCAAAATGATATAATAAATGATCTGTGGGGTATTTTGAGCTGAAACTTCACAGACACATTCTGGGGACATCAGAGACTTATATTACATATTGTAAAAAGGGGCATAATATGTCTCCTTTAAGGGGATATTAATGAGATGAACTAAGGGGATATTTACACAACACCTTTTTCAACTAAAAGTGGAAAAAAATCAATGCATTTTAGCCATTCATTTGCATGACAGTGGTGTTTTGGGGGCCTGAACATGCACATTTTGAAAACAATACCGTTATCATCTCCATGTAAGCCACAAACACACAAAACTTTTCCAAAACTAAAAGGAAAAACTTTTGTTTTAAGTAGGCTACACCGTTGTCGTGTGCCCTAAACCCAAAAATTAATTTAGTTGATTAACTCTTGCATCAGACCTGTTGGTTTGATATTTGAAATAAATGGAACTATGGGATTGCATTGGGACATTTTTAAATTTGACTTTTTTGGCCTACTGTATGTGGCATGACATCATCTGGTCCCTTACCTACCATTGATATCACCTTCTGGTTATTGAAACGCAGCCTCTTCTCTAAGCACTCAGTGAGCTCTGGAATGGTGCTGATGTGACATTCAGGTCCCCCCACTTTGGTTCGGCTGTTTTCATCTGAAGACACGCAGCGGGCACGAGGATGAGAGTGCACTTCCTTTTCCTCACGGCCCTTTAGGTGGACAGGGACAGGGGCCATGCTTTTAGCATGGAGATGATTCGCCTGCATGGCTTCCAGCTGAGACTTTTCAATACAGAAACCAAGACAGAAAGAGAGGAAGAAAGACCATGACATAGAAACAAGTGATAAGCTACATACAAGCTATATTCATAATAATGTTAATCATATTTAAATAATCAGAACATAAATGCTATAAATGAATGAATTTCATTAAAGGGGTCATATGATGCGATTTCAATTTTTCCTTTCTCTTTGGAGTGTTACAAGCTCTTGGTGCAT